AAAAAAACGGTTTTTGAAAACCGACAAACCCTAGTAATAATCAAAATCATTTATGATAGACGAAGATGCAGTCAAACCAGAAAAAAGTGTTGAAGAAAAATTCATACAAAATATAGATTATGACAAAAAACCACCTCCAGATGCTCCAAGTACTTCAAGACCACCAAGAGTGTCTTTTGCTGAAGCAAAAATTGAAAAGAAGAAGGCTGAGTCTTCGACTTCGATTTCGGAGAAATCTGACAACGTGTCTTTGGACGATTGTAAGAAATTCTATTTAAAATATATAAAATATATGTAAGAGTAATTTTACATTTAAAATTTTATTATTTTGTAGTCGGAGATGATCCTGAAACGTTACTTGCTCCTCCAACGGGTACTATGCCAACTAAAGCCCTTAATTTGACCTGGGATGGTTTGAGAAGATTTGTAAAGAAACGTATTGAAGGGGTAAATATTATTACTAACCTTTTTTACTCTTATTACAACTGTACCCATCCATACATCCATTTATTTTTTTTAATTTATCTGAAAACTGTCTCTTAAAAGTGCTTTCGTCATTTTTTGTCTCTCATTTTCTCAAAGTATTTGTAAAGTCTAAAATTGTAGTTGTCGTGGAAGTAAAAAATTCGATTGTTTAAGATTGTTATTTCTTTTAAAATAATTTATTTTAAAATATCTAACAAATTTCTGAATTGTTTCTCAATTAATATTTGATTTAAAAATTTCATTATTTTCATTATCAGGAAATTACGAAACCTAAAGATCAGTCTGAAGATGACAAGAATAAACAAGACAAAAAGGATAAATAATCTATATTAATTTTAAATAACGAAAAAATTTAATTTATAACTTATTATATGTATATATGATCAATAGATGCTAATAACAAATTACATTGTAAAAATTAAAAAACAACAAACAAAACTCCTACAAAATATAAATCTATGAGATAAACATAAATATAAATCTAATGAGATTATTTTGGGAACGTTTGCATTTATCATCGAATATATATTATGATTCTCAAGAAGTGTATTAATTATCATAATCATTATGTTTTTACTTGTAGAAGTTTGCTTCACATTTATTATTAGCAAATCTTGGCAGTTATGTTAAAGAAGAAATTTTAATTATAGTTTGCATTAATGATATTTACATATAATAATTATGCTATGTAGGTTACTTCAATTTACTAACATTGATATGCCATAAAAATCTCGAAGACATAACAACTATACAGATTTTCCTTCAGAGCGAATAAATCTTTTATTCTGTTTTTTTTTCTTTCTTTGTAATTATCAATTATTATGAATATTGTAACGTGATTTTATTTTAGAGGAAAATTTTCTTTGATGATCTAATTTTTATATACATTCAGTATTTATTATTGTTTGCAAAATAGTATTCAACGATGGATACTATACCTACGGGTAAAAATCCCAGTTAGAAAATGTAATATACATATCTATATTTATTGAAATATATATGTTTTTGACTTGACTTGACTATAACAACTATAATTCTATATAAGAATTAGGAATTGGAGATCAAATAGTAATTATAAGCACTTGATTTTTAAAATAAACAATAACACAAAACCATAATTATTAAAAAAAATTGAATTA